CCGCAATGGGAACATGACTCATCCACAAACGCCACTTCAGCGTGCTTAATGCCCAGGCACGTGAAGCAGCGATCGTGACCATCACCCGGCGCCAGGTAATGACTGCATCCAGAAACGCACGGGTGAAATGCCATCTATAAAAAGACACTTCTTTAAAAAGACATTCACCCGTGAATGCTCTTTTAGGATTGCTCTTTTAGTTGTGCTGAAGCACACAGGGGAGATGGCCACTGCCACACTACAGGGGGTAGTGCAGACTGTAGTTTGTACCCACTCAACGAAGGTCGACCAACCCACTGTCGCGCCATAACACCCACACAGAGAAGCTCCTTTGAGAGCGCTTACTCGTTCGACACACGCGAAGGCTTGGCTGGAGCAGAACGATAACACAGCTCGGATCCAAAGCGAAAAGCTGATTATGCGCTGCACCGGCTTCCTACTTATACTCACGCTGTGATCAGCGGCAGCTGGATGCAATAATTGCTTGCTAATGTGCATTGGCTCATTTAGTTTACACTCAAAGTGGATTGGTCTCTATGGCGAGATTCCCAATTCGTCAGTCACCCACGTGACGTCGAGAGTGACCGACTGAAAGGGAACTGTATTTTCAAGAACAAATGTTAACAAAGACTAATAATACTATATTAAATGTATTGTTCATTGTTTGTTAATGTTAGTTAATACATTATCTAAAGTTAACAAATGACACATTATTGTAAAGTGATACCAAGATTTTATTAAGGTAGTGTTGTTATTAATTATTTAGCCACTGACTGAAGTGTTTTTTTTTTTTTTAGTGTAGTGACGTACCATAATGATTCCAATATGAACAAACTCACATGGCACACTGCAAAGTCAAATGGCAGGGTGCAAATCCAGTCACAATTATATATGCAATTAAATGCAAGAAAGAATATCAATCCTGTTTTTAAATGCACATTTTATACTGATATCAACCAACTCTATTAATTTGGCAAACATTCTATTAACATAAGACAATAAATACATTTTAATCATTCTGTTTACACTTATTTTAATTAGTTGCCAAGCCCAAGACAACATTTACAATTTGGAGATGTTGCCACAGTTCTTCTGGATTTTGCCTGTCTCAGTTTTTTTTCTGTTTCTTCATGTCATTCCAGACGGACTGAATGATGGTGAGATCAGATCTCTGTGTGGAGCACTGGCCATTGTCAGACTCCTTGTGCATACAAAAACATCACTGAATTATTACAATTAATGGCAAAAGGAATGTTATTTTCTACTGACACACTACAGCAAAATATTCCCATTAGATAGTTGGTGTTTTTTTGTACAGCTGAGTGTGGAAGCCTGTTTCAGCTTCTGAGTAAAAAAAAATAAAAAATTCTATATTATTAAAAAATACGAAATTAAGTAACATTAGGGGAAATAATGTTGCAATTCTGAGACAGAAAATTAGCAATTAAAGCAGATTAAGGCAAAAAAAATGCAGTATCATATTCACTATTGTACAACATTCATTCATTTTATTAATTCATTCATTTTATTAATTCATTCATCCATTCGTCCGTCCGCCCGTCCATCCATCCATCCACAACACAGTACAATAAAGTAAGAAATGGTAGCACTTTACAATAAGGTTCATTAGTTAACATTAGTTAACATGAACTAAGCATGAGCAATACTTCTACAGCATTTATTAATCTTAGCTAATGTTAATTTCAACATTTACTAATGCCTCATTGAAATCAAAAGTTGTGCTTGTTAACATTAGTTAATGGAACGATAACACAGCTCGGATCCAAAGCGAAAAGCTGATTATGCGCTGCACCGGCTTCCTACTTATACTCACGCTGTGATCAGCGGCAGCTGGATGCAATAATTGCTTGCTAATGTGCATTGGCTCATTTAGTTTACACTCAAAGTGGATTGGTCTCTATGGCGAGATTCCCAATTCGTCAGTCACCCCCATGACGTCGAGAGTGACCGACTGAAAGGGAACTGTATTTTCAAGAACAAATGTTAACAAAGACTAATAATACTATATTAAATGTATTGTTCATTGTTTGTTAATGTTAGTTAATACATTATCTAAAGTTAACAAATGACACATTATTGTAAAGTGATACCAAGATTTTATTAAGGTAGTGTTGTTATTAATTATTTAGAATGCTCTTTTAGGATTGCTCTTTTAGTTGTGCTGAAGCACACAGGGGAGATGGCCACTGCCACACTACAGGGGGTAGTGCAGACTGTAGTTTGTACCCACTCAACGAAGGTCGACCAACCCACTGTCGCGCCATAACACCCACACAGAGAAGCTCCTTTGAGAGCGCTTACTCGTTCGACACACGCGAAGGCTTGGCTGGAGCAGAACGATAACACAGCTCGGATCCGAAGCGAAAAGCTGATTATGCGCTGCACCGGCTTCCTACTAATACTCACGCTGTGATCAGCGGCAGCTGGATGCAATAATTGCTTGCTAATGTGCATTGGCTCATTTAGTTTACACTCGAAGTGGATTGGTCTCTATGGCGAGATTCCCAATTCGTCAGTCACCCACGTGACGTCGAGAGTGACCGACTGAAAGGGAACTGTATTTTCAAGAACAAATGTTAACAAAGACTAATAATACTATATTAAATGTATTGTTCATTGTTTGTTAATGTTAGTTAATACATTATCTAAAGTTAACAAATGACACATTATTGTAAAGTGATACCAAGATTTTATTAAGGTAGTGTTGTTATTAATTATTTAGCCACTGACTGAAGTGTTTTTTTTTTTTTTAGTGTAGTGACGTACCATAATGATTCCAATATGAACAAACTCACATGGCACACTGCAAAGTCAAATGGCAGGGTGCAAATCCAGTCACAATTATATATGCAATTAAATGCAAGAAAGAATATCAATCCTGTTTTTAAATGCACATTTTATACTGATATCAACCAACTCTATTAATTTGGCAAACATTCTATTAACATAAGACAATAAATACATTTTAATCATTCTGTTTACACTTATTTTAATTAGTTGCCAAGCCCAAGACAACATTTACAATTTGGAGATGTTGCCACAGTTCTTCTGGATTTTGCCTGTCTCAGTTTTTTTTCTGTTTCTTCATGTCATTCCAGACGGACTGAATGATGGTGAGATCAGATCTCTGTGTGGAGCACTGGCCATTGTCAGACTCCTTGTGCATACAAAAACATCACTGAATTATTACAATTAATGGCAAAAGGAATGTTATTTTCTACTGACACACTACAGCAAAATATTCCCATTAGATAGTTGGTGTTTTTTTGTACAGCTGAGTGTGGAAGCCTGTTTCAGCTTCTGAGTAAAAAAAAATACATGAATGAAGAATATGTGTGAATGTTTAATGAATTATCACTTTTACATTCTTTTATTTCATTTTAATCTATACTTTTTAATGTTTATTTATTTTTTATACTTCTTGTTTCTCTGTTTTCACTGTTATTTTATGTTGTTTTAATTATCTTTGCAATGATTTGCCCATACACACCATCAGTTATTGTCATGCCAATCTAGCACACATTTTATCATACACAATCCTTTGAATTGCATTAGAAAAGGGCAAAGCATGACCGAATAGATCAGATGCTGACAGCTTGAGTTTAGAGATTCCAGATCCAAGAACTCCCGTGACAAAACTCCTCCAGCCTTAATTAATCCAGTCCTTGTTTTCTCTGTTCTGATACTGGCCACTGGGCTGCGCGGTTTATCTCTCTCTCTCTCTGTGTGTGTGTGTGTGTGTGTGTGTGTGTGTGTGCGCATGTTTATGTGGTTTATGAGGGCACAAATTTGTATAATAACATGGGTATGACATAGGTATTACAACGAGAAGGTGATTTATGAGGACATTTTCAGTGTCCCCGTAATTCAAAAGACTTAATAATAATTCAGAACGAGATTTTTTGAAAATCTAAAAATGCAGAAAGTTTCCTGTGAGGGGTAGGTTTAGGTTTAGTTTGTACAGTATAAAAACCATTACGCCTATGGAGAGTCCCCATAAACCATAAAAACAAACCTGTGTGTGTGTGTGTGTGTGTGTGTGTGCACTGGTTTGGGTGGTTTATGAGGACACAAATTTGTATAATGACATTCAGGTATTACAATATGAAGGTGGTTTATGAGGACACTTCCTGCTTAAAAACATACTAAATGGTTTTTTTTTAATATCTAAAAATGCACAAAGCTTTCTGTGAGTGGTAGGTTTAGGTGTAGGGTTGGTGTAGGGCAATAGAAAATACAGTTTGTAAATTATAAAAACCTTTACGCCTATGGAGAGTCCCCATAAACCACCAATACCAATGTGTGTGTGTGTGTGTCTCACATATAATTACTATTACTTTATGGCATTACAAATAAGAGATTAGAAATAAAATAATTCAAGATTAGAATAAATTAAAATGACAGAAGTACAAAAACTTAACACATTTGTTGTCATGCATATTTACGTTTTTACGTATTTTCTATGAAACACATGACAAAATGACATTAAATCATTAAAATTAATTAAATGTATTGTTTATTCGAATAAACTTTGTGTTTTATATTATTATTATTATTATTAAAATCGTTAAAATAATTTAAATGAATCAAATGTATTGTTTTTATCTGTATTATTATTATTGTTATATCATATGCAATATATTTATAATTTATAAATATATGTTTCCTTAAATTATCTTATAATTTAAAGTTTACGTAGCACGTTTATTTATTTATTTATGCGTGGGAGGGACATATTAATTCAAATAAAAAGCAAAACTCCATGAGTCTTCACGAATCCAGTACGTGTTTTTCTATGTTCTCATGCTCACCACTGGGTTGTGCGGTTTGTCTGTTGCTGTAATGTGTGTGTGTGTGAGAGAGAGAGAGAAAGAGAGCGAGAGAGAGAGAGAGAGAGAGAGAGAGAGAGAGAGAGAGAGAGAGAGAGAGAGAGAGAGAGAGAGAGAAAGAGAGAGAGAATTCCTACTTTCTCTCCGCTGAGAGAAAGACGGCAGAAGTTCAGAGCGCGCCGCTCCGGATCTATTCTGGAGGTTTCGCTGTTCTAATCACACACGCGTTCGTTCTGAGAGGATCCGTCGGAGAATTCTGCTATGAACCGGGTGCGACAGAAAGCGTGACTGATCATTGATGAGCGATTGAATGATTGAAACATTTGTCCACCTGCAGCTGGAGACGCCGGTGCGCTGAGCGCGTCTTGTGGGTTTTGCGCTTTTACGCATCGGCTGGATTTGCGCACAGGAGGGATGTTGAAGACACCTGTCGTGATTTTCACTTCTTTATCGCTTCTATTGTCGCTGTCATGTGCTGGAGATGTAAAATCGCGCAGCTGCAGCGATGTGCGCCTGGCGTTCACGACCAAAGGTTTCAGTCTCCATAATGTGCCACATCAGGAGATATCAGGTGAGGACAAAGTGCCAACATCGTACCACATCGTAAACTCTGGCTAAAAGCGCATTTCTGCTTATACTTCAGTTAGTTTCTGGCGGAGAACAGCTCGTGCTCATGCAGAAGGTTTTCCTTAAAGTCCTATTGATCATTTAAAGAGCTTGATCAATGATGATTTGCTGATGATTTGCATAAAGTGAATGAGAAAATCTAAGCTCATTAATTCAAGGATTTGGTGACTTGAGCTTTGAAAACTTTTCATACCAGTGTTGCCTTCAGTATTTATGGATATATAGGCATCATGAGGTCATTTAGCTATCACATTAACAGAAATGCATGTTATTGGTGCTTGTTATTAAACTTATGCATGCACAACAAAAAAAAAGTTTTATTTTGATGTGGTGTTGATTATTTACAGATGATTTCCATATAAACTATCATTGCTAATCCTTACATATAGCTAAAAATTAGCAATTTTGAGGCCAAACTACAATTGCATTCAGCTTAAAATGATAATATTAATGTACATATAATTTTAGGTTCATTTGCATGTCAAACTTTTGTAAAACTTTTTGCACATTGACTAAATACATCTGCAGAAATCCTGTAAAATCAATACAGATCCAAATTAGTAAAACTAAGATTTTCTTCTGAAATTGACTGAAAATGTTTCAGAAAACCACAGCAGAAAGATAAACTTACAGTAACTCTTAAGTAACATACCACCACCAACTTTATAGTAAATGCAACTTTTTTCCTCCTCAGTTTTAATATAAATGATTTAATTTGAATCTTAGCAATGTAATTTTGCATCATCACCCCTCATAAAAAAAAGAGTTTTACCCATGTTGTAAGAGTTTTGCAGCTCTGTTTGAAATGAAAACTCACTCATGCAATATAAACAGCCCCAGTAGGTGGCCCTACTCACTCAGTAGGATGCACCCCTGTTTAGCATTGGATTTATGGAGTCCTTCAGGCCATAGTGTAGCTTTAATTCATACTCCTTGCTGTGGCATAGATAGGCTTCTCTCTCTCTCTCTCTCTCTCTCTCTTTGTTATCTGTTGTGAAGTGATCACATTTGAAGGCTTCACCTAGCAAAAGCTGATTACTGTGGTAGGGACATAATGCAGAAGAGAGCATGTTTGAAAGGATAATGTAATGCGGTCATAATGTGTTTGATCCCACACAAGAGTTCCATTTGGCTTAAAATTACATTTGTTGCTGATGGCAGGCGTAGCCTGATGTAGATGGTTGTGATTATGATGTTGAGATTTTGGACAGTCCTTTCCTAATAAAAAAAACATGCAGATTGATTTAGGCAAAAGTTTGGTGGTGTATAATGCAGGAATGCTTGAATATTGGGGACTTTGGCTACAGAAGCGCTGAAATGGACCTATGGGATGTGTCTACATGAAGTGTTTTGTGTATTTCTAAAATAAGATTATTTTGTCTTTTCCCTGTGGTCTCACCTTTGAGCGTGTTGTCTTATGGTTGATCTCCAAGGGCTCAATCTCTGTGAGCAGCATGTATGTCTGTTGTTGATGTTGGTGCACATCTATACGTATGTATTCCTGCTGTTGCATCGATGATCTATAATATAACTTCATACAGTAGCTAATGCAAGAATACTCATGGAACGCAAATTCAAATCAGTTTTGTGTTGACAAAAGAAATGGCCTTAAATTAATTGTAAATAGTCACTGCAGTGTCAGAGTAAGTATCTGAAAGCACTACAACTTCAGATTGTTGATTCTGTGAGTGTCATGCACTAAAATATGTTGATGTGGGATTTAATTTAAAACCATTTTTACTCAGAAATTGCTAGTAAATTTCATAAATAATTATAATAATTATATACAACTTGCTTTGGTATTTTATTAGAGTAAAAGACAGCTCAAGCACTTTCGTTTATAGTGAATGTGATGAACTTGAGGAGAACTGACTTCATACATGTGCTAAATATCATTGAGCAAAAGACACTGAACAAAAATTACTCATGATTGGACAAAACATCCAGTCTAAGGTGGTTTGTTGGTTTTTGGCACATGCCAGGATTGAAGACTATGTGGCCGATTAACTAAACCTGCTAAACAGCATAGCTAAACTGGAAGACTGATTTAACCAGTTTTCAGCTGGAAAAGATGAAAGTATGTTACATTCACAGAAAGGCATGTAAAATGTTATTGAGCTCATAATGGGCTTTATTTGTGTTTAACTGTTAAATTCATGCATATTTCAGTATGCACAAAGTTGTACTTGGAGGAGTTGAAGAAGTCATTGATTTGAAGATGATATCCATGTGAACTTCCATTGCATATTATAAATCTGTATATATTTGAGACCAAAACTAGAATATAATTTAAATGTAAAATACAAAATACCGAAGCAGTTCCATTTTGTTTGAATAAAAGATAGCTCAAACACTTGTCGTGACAATTTTCTATTTCAATAAAGGTATGAGACAAAAGTATTTTAAAGATTTATTTTCTTGCAAGAAAAAGTCTACATTCATGCAGCCATTCAGTGTTGGCTATAGATTGTGAAAAAGAGAAAATATCTTAACTCAGTATTTATACCCAAATCAGGATTCTTCTATCTCAACCAATCATAATGTATACTCAAATTATGAGTCCATTTAAGGTGTCCAACTATGTCCCCTAGATGTGCTTTAATGCAAACCATCTTCTAAGAAGCTAGGTAAAAAATAGGATTTCTCGTCTCACACTTGTCTTGCACATACACACATCAAACAGATTTCCTGTTATCTCTCAGCTCATCAAAAACTCAAGCATACTGTAGCAAACTGAAGCATTCAGAGACAGTCTAAAGAACATTCTTTAGTATAGTGAAGCAAATAAAACCAATAATAATGATAATATTTCAGATAAAAATAAAATTTCCTCCACAAACTTTTGTTCATAGTTAATGTGATGAACTTGTGGAGAACTGACTTTATACATGTACTACAAATCACCAAAACAACAGCTGATTCAAATACATTGAGCCATAATGACTCTTGATTGGATGAAATGCCCTTTGTAAACTAGTCCATGGTGGTTTGTTGCTCTCAGCTAACCAATAAGATGGTTCAGCTGGTCTAATTTAGATGGGTTAATGTTCTGGGAAGGTTCTTCCAAAGTTATGAGCAAATATTCTTCCAGTAAAATTAATAGAACGTTCGTTCAAAGTTATCTAGTTAATAATGTTCTCAAAATGTTAGCACAAAAACATTATTATAGATCGTTCATGGAAAGTTTTTTCTAAGACAGTTTAGTTGGATGTTCATCTAATGTTTTTAGTTTCGGTACATTTTATTAGTTTGCATGCACTAAAAATCACCCAAACACTAGCTGATTCAAACACATTGAGCAGAAATGTTTAAACTGGTCTAATTTAGATTTCGTTTTTGGGACTTGCCAGTCTTGGAGACTAGCTATGTGGCCAATCAGCTAAACCAGCTTTGCCAGGCTTGGAGGCTGATTTAATCAGTTTTCAACTAGAAAAAATTAATAAATAAATGGACTGATTGCTGAGAAAAGCAGTAGCATATTTTGTGTGCAGAGATGACATTTGGCGTAATTGTTTTATTATCTAATGCAATGACATTTACACACTTTTTTTGTGTGATGTACCTGACCAAATGTAATTCTGAACATAAGTTTGTGAAGAGTTCATTTTATTCTGCCACTATTTATCCAGTGCTTTTCCTATCATTTCTATCATCCTGTCATTAATACTAACTTTGTATACATTTACATTAACATTTAACCAATCAGAAATGAGGTAAAGGAGTGAAATCGCTCAAACATGAGAAACAAACCTTTGGAAAAGATTTATAAAACAAAAACCAACAGCATTATTTGTACTTGACATTCATTTACACAATTTAAGGATAAGTCGTTGATTTCAGAGCAAGATTAATTTGAAGTAAACACATTTGGGAATACCATATCAAAGTTTGAGACACTTAGAGCAAACTAAATGCAGACATTCAAGCAAAATAAATTAAATCACTCCCCAGTCACTCCCCGCTCAACAGTATATCAATGTCACATCAGATTCATGGGTGTGTGAGAACATTCCACAAAATACGGATCATACAATTCCCAAATCATGAGAGTAGATTTTCCAGCTTCGGCCCAAAATCAAACAGACAAATCCAATGAAACTCTGTTAGTCAAAGCACAAACATTTAAGCTACACGTATTGAGAAATACCATTGGAAAACACACACACACACACAGGTTTGTTTTTATGGTTTATGGGGACTCTGTACAAACTGTATTTTCTATTGCCCTACACCAACCCTATCCCTAAACCTACCCCTTACAGGAAACTTTCTGCATTTTTAGATTTTCAAAAAAACTCATTCTGAATTATTTATAAGCCTTTTGAATTACGGGGACACTGAAAATGTCCTCATACATCACCTTCTCGTTGTCATACCTATGTCATACCCATGTTATTATACAAATTTGTGTCCTCATAAACCACATAAACATGCACACACACACACACACACACACACAGGTAAAGTAAGGCTTTTGTCCTTAGATAAATCATTTGGCTGATTAATCACACATATCTGATTGTTGCTCCTCTCATGAGCTCATCTGAGCTCTCAACAGGCTGTTGTTTGTGTGGTGAGCGTTCAACGGGTAAATCGGTGCCTGACAACACAGAGGTCATCTGGGAAGAGTTACATAGCATTACACAAGCTTCATCAAGAATAGATATTTGAAATCAACAGGATTTGCCTTGTATTGTCTGTGTTTGTATGCTTATTCCTATTTATCTTCAGCTTTCAATGTTACTTTCCTCAAACATTTTGGTTCCCATCTAAAAAGGGACCTTTTTAATAAGAAAAATACTCTTAAAGTAATGTTTATGGAATGTTTTTATAACATTATTAATATTTAATATACATTCTTATAATGTTGAAAGGAATTATTCTTAGAACAATGCTCTCGGGAACATCCTTATGATGTTATTGGTATGTTTTTAGAAATACGTT